AGTTACTCTGATTTTAGAATTATTTTCTTTAGCCAACTCGAGACCAATTGTTTCAGTTAAGGAAGTCACAGCATACTTCGAAGCACCATAGATATCTCCGTCCAATGATCCTACTTTATGATTCACAAAACTATTAAGATTAATAACATGACCATCTATATTATTCTTTTTCATATGCTTAATAGCTTCTCGGGTTGAAATGCAGACTCCTAAGACATTAACGTCAAGTAATTGTCTCCACTTTTCAGTTGTACTTTCTGATATTTTTTCGCCAGCATTATTGATAACAATACTGACTTTGCCAACATTGTCTTTGATCCATTCATACGCCTCTAACACATCACTTTCTTCGTTAACTTCACCCTTACATATGTAAAATTTTTCTTTTTTGGATTTGGAGGATAGTTCTTTAACAAGTTCGTCTAAATGTTTTTTCAGTCCCGTTAACGCTACTACCTGAAACGAACAGAGACTGTTTTTATCGTATTTTTAAAAACAAATTTTTTGATAACAATGTCACAAAGTTTTAACCTGTTATGAGAATCCTACCAAAAAAAAGCATAAGGAAAAAAATAATAAAGAAGAATATGGTCAAGTGCGTGTCTAAGGCTATCCCCGAAGTAGTTTCTGAATCTTAACTGAACTAAGGAATAGTTTTTATGGTTTTTAAGTAACTTTATTGACAAAAAATTAAATTTCAGTTAGTTTTTAAGATAATTTTAAATAAAGTCATGTAACAAATAATACATTATTTGACAGTTTTTGTTTAACGAACTCCGCTCCTAGAGTTTGAGGACAAAGGTAAACTTTAGTTTTCATGGAAAATTCTGGAAAGCTTAATTTATTATTATTAGTTTACAATATTTAGATATGACTCGTTTGTTTATTTATTGACGTTTACCTGGACCGTCTGCAATTAAATCGCTGACGATTTCTGTAATATTCTGTATTATATTTCACATAAATAGTCCAATATTAATCCCATTCCATAACGGTAACTGTCCTAGATGAGATGATAACCGCAGCTATTCAGTTAAAGTATATGTTTCAAATAATTCCGAAGAACGGTTAAAAAAAACAAATTTTAATTAACCAGTTATTCCTTTTACAAAACATACGTTAACATAACATTAAAAACCCATACTGCATACTGCACCTTTGTGAACTGAATCGATAGCTAAGAAGAAGACAGACAGCTACTGTAAAAATTTGAAATTAACTGTATTCCTCCACGATTGCACAACGATAAAAAAATAGAGAGAAACATAATTTTTTTAGAAGTATTTTACAAATGATTTAAAACGATTTGTATTTACGTTTAAAAGCAATATGACAAACAACATATGAACTAAATGATTAAAAAAAAAAATAATTACAAACATTGCAGGACAAACCATACATGGGCAGCAGCCAAACAAAACTGAATAGAGATATAATAATAATAAAAGCAGCTAATCAAATAATTTTATTAAGACAGAAAACAATATTAATCACAAGAATTAGTTGAAAAAGAATTACTATGGAATAAGAAACAGGTTAAGTCCAAATAAAAGTAGAAGAACAATATCATCATTCTGGTTTTATAACCCTGCGTGGGTCGTAGCTTCCTCAAGAAATTCTTTTTAGTTGTCCCTATCCATCGCACGTATTCCCATATTTCTCATGTCTTTATCGAAGTTATGAAGGAACCTTGTTTTACGTCTTCCTCTTCTTCTCTGACCAATGGGTCTATCAAGGAGTGTTTTTCTAGCTGGATCATTTTGTTCCATCCTCATTACATGGCCTATACACCTTAGACGTCATATCTTAATATAATTTACCATATCTGGTTCATGTGTTCTGGTATATTCTATAACATTCGGTCATCCACAGCTCCATAGATTCGCCTTAGTACTTTTCTTTCGAGATATCTTACAATGTTTTTATTACTTTTTGTTAAAGTCCAGGTCTCTGAACCGTATGTTAGGACTGGGCGTATTATTGTTTTGTAGAGGTATTCTTGTATTTCTATTAAAGGGCGCTTCCAGGTATACAAATTCGTACTGCTTTGATGACGTCGTTATCAATTACAAGTAGTAATAGTATTTGTGGTTGCGTGCTAATTTTTTCACCAGCATAGGTAAGGATTTGCACTGTTTTAGTATATATTGAACAAATGGTTGTAATTTATGACATACCCATTACTTTTTCCAAAGCCATATTGAACAGTATACAGGAGGGAGAGTCTCCCTGGTGCATCCTGTTATTGGTTTTGAAAGGTTCAGACAGTTCCCCCTGAATTCGTACCCTATATTTAACTTTTTTAAAAATTAGTTTTATTTTATTTACCACCTGATTTCGTACTCCTAGCTCTTTTATTGTTTTTAACGTTTCTCTTCTATTCACACAGTCGTAGGCTGCTTTGTTGTCTATAAATATGTGATAAGTGTCAATGCCATATTCCAGTGTTTTTTCTAAAATTTGTTTTGCAATCTGATGAATTGTCGATTTACTACCTCTAAAACCAGCTGGTATTTTCCTACTATTTGTTTTGCATATGGTGCTATACGGTGATATGGTACTATGGAAAATATTTTATACGCTGCATGTAGATGCATAATGTCTCTGTGGTTATATCATTCAAAGATATCTCGTTTTTGCTGTATGGTGCAGCGAAGTATTCCAATATTCCACTAATTGGGAAGTGATTTCTGTGTGCATATTTCTTTTATAAGCTGCTTTATTGCCATTATGGGATCGTGGAAATTTTCTTTATATAGTTTAGCTGCAACATTATCTATTTCGAGTATATTGTTTCTGGCTAGATGTTTAGTAATAGTTTTTATGGTGCTTAAGTAACGTTATTGACAAAAAATTAGATTGGAGAATTACACCGTTTTAAGATATCAATCAGCGGAATTTGTAAATTATATATATTCTTTATTTTATATGTATTACGTCATAAAGAAGTGACTTTAGACTTTTGTTTATTATCTACTTCTTAACGATGTTCTATCTTTTTGGCGTCTTCTTATTTCTGGGAATTAAAAATTGGATATATAGAAAAGTATTTAGAAGACAAGAGAGGAATTTTTCTTTTAATGGAGACTAATAGAAACAAGAAAGCTCTCTTGTGAGACTCTGATCATGAGAACATTTACCAATAATAGAAAATAAGCAAAAGTGAAAGAGTAGTTGTATTTGAAAAAGAAATCTAATAAAATGTACAACGTATAGTCCGTCCAAGCACTCTTGACCACGGCGCAGTAGACAAAATTTGGTTTAGTTTCCACTTCCATGCAAAACGCACTGTACTATGCAAAATGAAAATATCGACTTGAAAATTTTTAGTTGTGTTTCTGACTTTGAGGTGTTAACTTCAATAAGTTTGTGTGTTTTCTCCCGTTTACCTGTTGCGTATTCAAATTTATTAAAAGCGGTCACAAGGTAGGTACTTTATCATAAATTAAAATACATAGGGGCGCATTAAGGAAATTTTAATAAAATTTTTTCATGTCTTTGTTGTTTTAAGACTGGTGCAAAACAAAAATTACTTGCAGTCTGTTTCAATTAATCGGTTAATATTTGATATTGGAAAATCTTTTTTTAAAACTACTTCATATGTTACGATTTATGTTGATTTGAGTTTATATTTTTTTGAAATCTTTGTTTTTTTTTAAATATTTTTATATTTTCATTTTCACAGTGCCATCACAATAAATAACAGCGTGTTATTCACAGTCAGGGCCGACATATTGTTTACAATGTGTATAGTTTTTAAAAAAGGAGCAAGAAAAAAACAACACAAAATCTTCGGTTTTAAATATGATTGTGGAAGCCACTGAAATTTCTAAAAGTAGCGTCCAAAGAATCATTAAAGAAGGAGAGAGAGTTTCCGATTTCTCATCTCCTTCAGGCAGCTCGGGAAATGTCTTTAAATCTCCCAGAAAAAGATTAATCAGCCAAAACCGAAAACCAACGTCGATGCCTATGAGGGAAAAATTATAAGAAACGCAGTGCATACTTTTGCAATGATTCATGGCAGCAGGCCTACAGTGTCAGCTGTTTACAACGCTGTTAAGAATGAGATTAATTTCCAAGGTAAACTATCGTCGTTCAAAAAAGTGTTGAAGAAATTAGGTTTTAAATGGCAAAAAACAAATGACAACCGAAAAATACTAATGGAAAAAACAGATATTTGTGCCAAACGAACCGAATATCTAAAAAAATATAGAGCTAAGGGTTTATGATGTTATCTACACTGATGAAACGTATCTCTACAGCAGCAACCTTTTAAGGAATTCAGGTATATAACTAAATCCAACTAATTACTAAAGGGAAATCCACGTATAGGTAGGTAGAACCCATGATACTATACCAAAATAAGATAAGTTAACGCGCATGTTCTTGTGACGTAAGCCTGAGACAAGTTGTCAAAATGCCAAATTGACAAAATTAATGAGAGCAAATTAAACTTTAAAATAAATAATGCAATTCTAGTTATATAAATAAAGAGAATTTATATTAATAACAGCAGAAAATTAATATATTAATATTATAACAGCAGAGTAAATGTTTCTATGGATAATAATAAATGTTTCTATAGATAATAATATATACTAATGCCCATTTTAATAGAACTTGAAGTAATACCTTATTTTTGATAGGTCTTTAAAAAAACTTACTTTGGATGTATGTAGTGAACTGGAACATACTTTTCGTAGTTATAATGGCGACACATTAAAAATAACAAAAAAATGTTTAAAAAACTTAATAGAAGCTGCAAAGTATGTAAATGTTAGCGAAGATGTAAAATTACTTTTTTTTAGATGTAAAATGTATTTTAAAATACAAATTCTAAATTAAAATATTAAACATAATTACAATACTACAAAAGTCTCAAGTTTGACCCGCTTTTCCTTTATGGTCAAATTCTTTACATTTTGCCGGCCTTTTATATTTAATTTATGTTTTGTAGCAATATTTATTTTGTTTGTAATACACACAATCAAATCGTAGATTCATATATTTCTTTAATTAATTTTACAAATTACTTATTAATTTTCAAAACACGTTTTTACAGAAAGTTTTTTTTTTGTTTTTTTTTCGTGTTTATAGAGGGGGGGTCTGGAATCTTCAAAAGACATCTCAGTCCAGGACGCCGCCTGACTAACCTAAGTGCAGGATTCGTTCTTCGTACTTCGAGGCTCAGGAAAAGTTTGTGCTTAGAGCAATGCATTCATATGTTCTAGAAGCCACGCAGGCTCCACTCGTCCTAGACCCTTCACCGCCTCAGGTGGTATCTGATCTAGTCCGGGGGACCTACGAGTCTTGAGTGAACCCAATGCCTTGACAAGTTCATCCATGGTAAAGGTACAGCCTGCTCAGCTCCTTCATCCCTCCATACACCATGACATCTGCCGTCCGGAAAGAGCTCTCTTGTTACCTCAAGCTTCTTGTCCATAGGCATTTCGTAAGGAGGATACGCATGGAACTTCTTCATAACGATCTTGTACCCCTGACCCCAGATGTCCTCATCCGGTTTTTCACCCAGCTCTTTCCAGTGCCTTCTTTTTTCTGTACGAATTTTCCTGTACAGTTCCCTCTTCCTTGCGCGGTACTCTTCCTCGATCTCCTCGTTGACCTCAGGATTGTTTCCTGCTCTGCCTCGTGCTCTTGTTAACCTTCTTCTCATTGCTATACATACATTTCTTAGTGCCTCAATGTCCGCATTCCACTAATATGGCATCCTGTTGACATCTTGGCAACCAGTATTGCTTCCTTCCATCGCTTCTTTAATGACTCTCTCCAGGCTTTCCACCGTCGGTAATTGACCCTCCATTATGCTCACTCTCCATTTAATTAGCTCCTCGTATACTTTCCAGTCATTCCCATTGCCGCATCTGCCCCAGACGTCCCGGATGCACGGACCGTGTTAGTGGTCCCCGTTCCAGTTATCGAGAACTCAATGTATTGATGTTCAGTTCCGGTGTAGTCTGGCAAAACCTTCCAACGTCTTGCTTTCGCCGCTATTCCTTGTGTCGCCATGGTCACGTCGATGTATATACCTGTACCTCTCCTAACAAACGTAGGTTCCAGACCTGTGTTAAGAACCACTAGGTCTAGAGTACCCACCCAGTCAGTTAGTATCCTGCCGCGAGTATCGGTGATGGGAGATCCCCACTCCGCTGCTTTTGCGTTAAAATCTCCTAGCACTACGTATTCTCCTCCTGTGTTTACCACTACCTGCATGATCTCATCTATCTTCATCTCGCACTCGCCCACCGTCACGTTTGGAGAAATATAACAGCAGACCAGCCGCACCCTCTCCATCTGAACAATCACATATCCTTCTTTCGGCTTAATTTCATACACTCGCAGCTTCCTATTGTAGATTCGTACAGCAGCCCTCCCGGTCATATTTACAAACCATCCTCTTCTCTTCACCGCTGTTGGATTTGGTTCTGCCGTCACCAGTACATCGATGTTCTTTTCTACTGCGGCAGCCTCAGCAAGATCATGTGCTAATCTTGCCGTTTCAACATTAGTTTGGAGCACCCTCAGCTCTAGAGTCTTGTTTTCTTTGTTTGCCATTTCCAAACCTTCGATTTCTTTCGCGCTCTCTTTTACACTCTCGTACTAGTCTTGGGATTAGTCCTCAGTAATTCCTATTTTCAACCAGTCGGTTGAACTTTGAAAATATTCTTGAATTCGCCACATGTCCATTCACGTCGCAGTTAAGGCATCTGGTTGTTTCTTCCTTACAATCCAGAAAGTAACTAGTTATGACTTATTAGTGCAAGATATGGCATCGAGGTATACTTACCGTTAACAGTTTAAGTTTTGAAGTTGTTCATTACAGTAATGGAACAACGTTGTCATATGTTGCATCGTTAAAATATGATACAAACAAGTCCCCTGACTTTGTCTCACCATGACGACATGTGCAAAGTCGATCAAAATTAGAACGCCAGTTGAGCACATCTTGTTTGTTATAGTATCATGGGTAGAACCTAATTATTGTTCTATTGTTTCTAATTGTTCTTATCTAACCTCATTGCAATTTCTAGTAATATCTAATTTCTGGTAAATATGACGTATGGAGAATTCCAAACAAATTATAAATCAATCATTAGCATTCAACAAATCAGTAAACAAATTATCACTAAATCAAATTATTCGCTTTACCTTTTTTGAATATCGTTTAATTTACCGTCCTAAATACACTTATAAATAAATAAACAATTAGTTAATTTGTAAATAATTTGTAAGTAGGTACAACTCTTTAGAAATTTTAAAAATAAATTATTAAAATAAATGTGTATTAGTTATTCATCTCATAATATTAGTTATAAGTCTCAACTTAAAATAAGAAATTGAAAATATAAACTTATAAATAATAATTTTGCAATAAATAATAGGGCTTTTTCCACGTTTAATACCGAAAGTTGAGTTTAAAATACCAAATTAAAGCCAGTTAAAAAAAAAATTGAACAAAAATCATTGAAAATATAAACGAAATGCACATAAAAACCATTTTGGTTATGCACCATGCAATTTTTTATTTATTACTCAGTCCAACATTGTAATTATTTCGAAAATTTCGAGGTTGCAGTCGAAGGTAGAACGTTTTAGTTTGGTTAGTAGAATTCCACTTACAATAGAATCTTTCTGCCTTTACGTGAATTTTGACTCCGCCTTTGCGCAGCTACATGATCAAGAGTGCTTGCAAGTACTATACTATACTATATAACTAAACGATGTAAAATTTATAATATAAATGTTTTGTATCTATAAATCGCAAAAGTATATTCTATATTATGAAGTCAGAAAATACTAGTTTTAAACATCTAATGTAATGGAAATGCAATTTCCTTGATGCGAAAATTTCTAATGGCAGATTTATATCCACAGTAAAGTGATAAGCCATACATTAAATGTATATATAAAGTAATATATTTAAACTAGTTTAATAAAACAATTTAATAAAATCTTACCTTCAACCCATTGTCAACTAATTGTCGTATGACGGCTTTTCCTATTTCAGAATTTGCACCTGTTACAAAAGCTACACTTCCTTCCCACCGTTTCATCTTGGGAAAGTAAAGATTATAAGAACATCTAGTATTTATATATGAAAAATAACTAGAAAAAGTGACATTGATCTTAAGATAACACAGTATTAAAAAATTATATCACTTGGATACATATTGATTAAATGATAACATTAAACTGCAGAATGTAACGTAAAAGTAAAAATTTTGATGGATTTATCTATTTGCTTTTTAGATCGTATATTTTCAAGATATTTAGATTTTAAAACTTTAAAATTGTTTATATTCTGGATATACATCGCTGTGAAATGAACGTTTATTAAAAAATGTTGTTTTTGTCTATTTTTATGTCATACCGGCATACAATTTGGTAAAAAAAATCAGTCAAACGATTTGCACAATATTGGAGCGCCGTTTTGTTTAGCAGAAAACAGATCTATTGCGCAATGCGCCAGCTGGTTCCTAAATTTCAAGAAAAAAGAGTACACTTCATATAAGTAAAACTAAATTTTCTCACAACAGTACCTTTTCTCATCATTAACTACAGAGATCCGGTATTTCTTACCGGTGGGCGGTCCCAAAACGCGGATTTCGTGGTATCCGCACCACTTACAATTTCATGTGTTCTCATCCCTGTTGAGTTTTTACGCTGACGACACCGCAATAGCTGTTAGCTGGAGGAATCCAGACCATGCAGCTAATCATCTGCAGAGAGCACTGAATAGATTTGAAAGATGGTGCATCAAATGGAAAATCGCCTTAAACCCGGATAAAACACAGGCTTTAATGTTTAGTCACAGAAAAAGTGTACCGAACCGCGAACTAACGATTGGAAACACCCCAGTAGAATGGACGAACTAGGCCAAATACCTAGGGGTATTACTAGACAAAAAACTCACTTTTACGCAGCATATCAACCAGCAAACGTATAGAGCCAAAGCGCTGAAAGTTCAGCTCTCAACGCTTATTGGCAGAAGAAGCAAGCTAAGGTTCAAAACCAAAATCAGGATAGCGAACAGTATTATCCTACCAGTCCTATCGTATGCCTCCGCTACGTGGGGACATACCTGTAAAACAAACAGGAAAAAGATACAAACAGCTCAGAATCAACTGATAAGAGATGCTCTAAATTTACCAAAATACGTACCTCTGAGAAATTTATACAGAGATTCAGGACAAACAAGGATCCTACATACAATGGACAAAACGGCATACGAACTTTTCAACGGACTAAACAATCACCCAAGTAGCATGCTAAGAGAGCTGACTAATTACAATGCAAACACCAGGACAGTACACAGAAGACCTAAACAGCAAATAGCCGGATATAGGGTCCCAAATTAATAAATGAAGAATGAGATGGTCGCAAGAACGTCAAACAATAAGAATGCAGTCATCAGAAAAACAACCGCCAAAAAAATATCTTAATTTTAGGACTCTGGCGAGAGCATACAGGTGCCAAGGCACTTAATTAAGGGACAATATACACCGGGGTGTGTGGAGGCCATATACACCGTGCAATGCACACCCCACCACACCGCACACTATTTAGCATATAACAAATAAAAGGGTAAGAATTGTGCAGGCATTTTATTGTTCCATCGCCCAAGGAAGACCCCCAAACCCAAAAAAAAAGGTTGTTTTTCTTTTAAATTCAGTAATTATAAAATCAAATTTAATTATTTAAACGTAAACTTAACGTAATTCACTTCCAATTTTTTCCCATATATAGAACGTCTATATATGGGAAAATATAAATATGTATATAGACATATATAGAAGTCGCGTCAGGGACTTCTATATACCGCTGATGCGGAATTGGCCCTTAAGGCGGATCGAATGAATACTGATCCTTTCGCGACTCCCGAGCACTGAGACCATGTGCGGCAAACATGAGCTTGGTGGCCGGACCCTCTCGGGTGCCCAGCCGGCGAGGAGAACAAAAATTTATTTTGCCAAATCGGCGGCTGAGTGACCGAGCACACACATATCTTTCCGGACATGAAGCCGACAGCCCAGGCTGTCGACTTCATGGACGGAACACACACGCTATTTTTTCTTTTATTTTAGGGACTTCAGTCCCGAAGTGCAGTTCGAGTAAAATCAATAGAGTCAGTAAAGTAATTAGCGAGAAAAGCCTAGATGTGGCTACCCCTACAGTTAGGTGGCATAACCACAGTCATTAAAAACCGGAGATGTCCCATTACCCAGGGCATCTTAAGTAACTTTCAGATCATAGCCTCCTCACGTCAGTCGTACGATGAGGAGGGGTGAAGGAAAAGCCTGGGGGTCAGATAGCTACCACTTCAACTAGTGAAGTGTGACCGGTTTGATCTTCGGACATGTGGATCCCATTCTTATATTGGTATACACATGTTCCTAGGGGTAGGGTTGATCGCTTAGCGTGATTGTGTGTGTTCATGTGTTCTCAGTACCTCTAGGGCAGTTTGTATAGCAATGCTAATCAAAGCGATCGGCGTGTATTGTGAATATTTGTTTCGTAGCGCGCGCACATCAAAAATCTTAACTCATAAAATTTTTCGACGGTCAGTTTTTAAGTAAGTATTTTTAATTAGTCTTATATGGGTAAAATGCGAACTTTTTATAATATTTTTTGTGTTTTTAAGAAAAGAGTAAGGAAATGGACTCTGGAAGTCATCCTCGACCTTCAAAAAAGGTTAAATATGGTGATAAAAATTTTGAGGAAATTGTGCAAAAATGGAATGAGGAAATTGATTCTGACGCAAATGATGTGGACTCAGATACAGGGTATATACCAACAGACCATGACACTCAATCACTGAAGGAAAAAAATCACTCATATTTGCATAATGTGCAAGACTCAGATATGTTTGCGTTGCACGGCAAGAGTTTGCAATGAATGTGCCACTTTTAACAATTTAACCTCTAGCAAATTTTTTCTCATAAATGTATAAATCGTAAATGCTATTTTATGTTTCTTTTATGATTCTATATTAGGTTAATTTGTTTAAAAAAATCTAAATTTTTGTTTATGGCATTTATGGCTGTTTTTTTAAGTAGACCAAAAATGTTTGCAAAATTATCTTTTAATATATTGTTCTTTAAAAATCTTGCATTGTATTATTAAAATCAGTTATTTTACCATTTCTCCCATATCTAGACACTACAAAAAAATACATAATGCATTTTCTTTATTAACTTTATATTTGACTCTATTTTCTAATGACCGGTAAAAAATATCGAGGCCCTGTTATTACGTGGTAATTATGGAATGTCTGTAGTTAAGAGTTAACTAACTGAATTATTAGGAGATTATCAGGTTTGCATAAAATAGTAATTAATATTAATGTGGTGCCATTTGAAAAATGAATGCCAACAAAACTGTACGCTAACCACTGCAGTGTTTAAGTTTTAGGAGACATACGTTGGATTTTGACTCCGAGTTTGAATTTGTATCACCTCGAATTTCTGATGAAGCAGGGATACTGAAATAAGTCATAGCATTTTATTGATAAAGATTTGAGTACGGAAAGTTTAACTAATTTGTTCTCGTAGGCCATAAATTCGGCAAATTAATTCAACAAAGCGATAGCAGCTTTTGCTAAAATATTTCTTCTTTTACACATGTTGTACAGCCCAGAGGACAGAAAACAATATTATTAAATTGATTTCGTTAATGGCTATCAAAGCAGATGGCACCTCTGTACCATAACTACTGAATTGGTCAAGTTTTGGGAAACATTCTTTGGACGTTCCGAGTTTAAATTTGTGTTAGCCCGCGTTTTTGATAAAGCAGGGATGATGAAATGAGTCATAACAATATACTGATACAGATTATAGCACAGGAAGTTTAACGTATTTGTCCTCCTAGGCCATATATTTGGCCATTTAATTCAACACAGCGATAGCCGCTTTTTCTAAAAGATTTATTCTTTTATTTCTTTTATTGTTTGGTATGGCCCAGAAGGCAGACAACGATATTATTAAATCGTTTTCTACTTAAAATCTACTAAAAATTCTACTAAAAACAGTATAAATAAAAGAGAAGATGCTCAAAGGATTCCAACAACCTGGAAAACGATATTAATGAAAAAGTCAAAAATAAATCAGGCCACAAGACCGACAAGTAGGACTCCTTCTACCTACACACGGACAGGACTGATCACAAGAAGCGTTGCCAGAGAACGTTCAAGAGAAACGTGCCTCGATCAGCTAGAAAGGAATCTATTTCTTTATTAGCTGCAATTCCGATATGTGAAGAAATCCATATAAAGGTAACATTTTTGTTTATAGTTTAGAGTTGGTTTAATGCTCATTTAATAAGTAGTAGACTTGGATGGCTAGAATAAAAGTCATTTAAGAACGTAAATAATCCGTAATAAAAAATTTCTATTTACTCCTCTTAGTTTTAAAGGTATATATGTTTAAGATTATGTTTACTGTATATTGCACTATTGTTTTAGTTTTAATAATTTTAACATACTTGACTTTACAATCATCTGCCAAATAACAGTAAGCTAATTGAACTTTATCAAAGAAATTTGATAATTACAAATTAAACGAATTTGCACTCCCACACAATTGTACATCTAATTTCATTCATTGTCATACAACTATTACCTTAATAAAAAATTTTAATAAATAACACACATTTCGAAAATCTCTTCAGTAAATATAAATAACTTTTAAAGAATTAACTAATACAGAACATCACTTCCAGTTAACAAACAATTACATTATACCTATTTTCTACTTCATTGGATAAAATCTATCTCCTCAAGAAACTTCCCCGTTGATTGTCAAACAGTTACAATAGTACAAACTGAAGATCTCCATCATCAGCAATTACAATACAGTTTGAACTATGTTCTCCCAACCAATAATTAATCGTGTACTGGCATGTAAGTAATGTTTTGTTTATTTGCTAATTTATTATAATTCAATACACTATTTTTATACCAATTTGTGGGTCTTACTTTGTCTGCTTAAACAGTTTATTCATTAATAAAAAACACAGACATGTAATATTGGCATAATTACTGTAATTTATATTATTTTAATATTTGTTTATCTTCATAAGAAACTAATATAGGTTTAAACACCTAATATGGGTTTATTATTTCAGTATTTAATTAACTTTGTATTGACAGACCTGAAGATGCTTTGCAAATTGTAGAAAGCGAAACCGGTCGTCTAGATTGTTCAATTAAACTTATTGTGACTAAGTTTTATTTATTATTTCTTTTACCTATTTGATATAATTATTGTTTATTTTACGAAAACTATACAGTTTCTAAAAACGACTAAATTCTAGCAGAAGTTTTACCATAATAGACATTAGTTAAACTGATATAATTTTCATTTGTTTTTAACATTTGTTTTTTTTTAGTCTACCAAATTTTCGCAAATCTTTATTTGTATCATTAGGGTACTACAATAAACAAAATTAGTACAAATTACAGAATAAAAAAGTTAGTGTAAGATACAAAATAAAAATTTTGTATCTTACACTAACTGAGGTTAGTTGTCATGGAGGTTATAAATTGAAATGGAAACTAATCTGAATCCCACAGAGAATAGCAAAAACTATCCAAAAATTTTTTGTTTTAAAGACGTTCTTTTACAAAACACATTTTTAAAATTACTTAAACACACACACACACACACACACACACACACACACACACACACACACAAACACACACACACATATATATATATATATATATATATATATATATATAAACATTTAGATAAAATTATGTTACAAAACAATTAAAGAACATGATGAGAAACAAAAAATTCCTCATACGCACCTCTTTCTTTCTTTAGAATGGGGTTATATTGTTTAAGAATTTTAACTTCTTTTATTTCTTTCCTATTATTTTTTGAACTTTATCTACTACTTTCTGAAATCTATTCTCTCCTATACTGCATCCATCAGGCAATTTATTTATTTGTCTTCTTAAGGTAGTTTTTTCGTGTCTTTGATGCCCTTCTACTTTTTCCAAATGGTTCGTCATTAAAATATATGTTTCTCCTTTGTTTGCTGACTTTACCTGTCTTATTATCAAGTGTATTATCTATCTGTATTTATTCCTTTATTTTAAATAACTTTTTGACGGCGGAAAAAGCCAGTTTTATCAGTGCTGCTTTATATTCTTTTTTCTTATTTATAAACTACTACAATCACGGTAATATTCTTCAATTTTACCACTTATTGGCATTGGATTTTTGGACTTATTTTAAAAATCAGCAACGTCGCAACTACAAATCGGTCCAAATGTTGACATAATTTTTTTAAACTATTAATACATGCTTTTAAAGTAAATATCAAAACAAAAAGAAAATATGTTCAAAATCTACCTTTCCACAGAGTTTTTACTGTATGTATTATTACTTCAGTTAAATACTGAAAATCGTTATTCTGATTTCGTAACAAACTGTTGAATTCTCCTACAATTTCATTTTTTAGATTTAATTTCTTTTAACTTCGGTTAAGGCTCCATTTGTTTAATTTAATTATATTTTATTTTAATATAAATAAACTATAGGAATACTCCTGAAAATTCAAGTTGCTGTTTTCATTGTGTCGTTAATATAAGTTCATTTATACTTTTACATTCCAACTGCATTATTTTCAATTTGATGTACATAACTACACAATTTTCAATATTTGTCATAAGTAAACAATAGCACAAGGCAATGGCTTCGTGAAAAGTGCCAATAAATTTTAACGTACCTCCTTTTGATTAAATGGAATAAATCTGGTTATTAGGTTCAGTGTTTATATAAGTATAATAAATAAAAGTCAAATATTTATAAATATTTATTCCAAACGTTTTAATTTATATCAATCTAAAATATCTCTCCTGTTACTTGTATTATAAGTTCGGACACCTAAAAAGAAAAACATTGTAATAAATTTAGCTCTAGTTATGTAATTTTATCATACAAGTTTTTTAACAACAATAAATATCAGTTTGGTAACTGTTGAGGAAACAATTAACCTCTTAGACGTATATACAGGCACTTATTGGGAAAAATAAACAAATTTAACAAATTCAGGTGCTTGAGAACAAAACAAATACAAAACCTATTATTTTTTTTTATACAACTCATGTAATCTATTAGTTTATAAGGATCATAAAAATATTTAAAAATTAGTGATAAGTAAATAGTGAGACAGTTTAAATAAACTGCTAAAAAACAAACAAAATAAGACGAGTAGGCGGTGAAAACAATGCAGAGTTAGTTGGTTTCTGATATTAATCCAAAATGATCTTATTTTCTGATGTTTTTATCACCTTTCTGTCTAGAAAAGGAACACATTGTTCTTGATCAACTTTAACAATATATTGTAGGTGTTTGTGAAGCCTATTGAAGACGTCCAGTGTAGTTTAAATGAAGTTTACTGTTCTTGGGAATAGCACTTATCACATCATCCACATATTTGTATATGAACGGTAATTTAAACAATAGTCATGAAATAACTATATTGAATATTTTATCCAAAACTATGTTGGCTACAATTGGGCTATACGGACAGCCTATGGGAGTGCCAAAGATTTGTGAGTGAAAAGTTCCTTCAAAGGAAAAAAACATAGAAAAAATATTCACTAGCTTAAAGAAATTATTCTTACTAAGGTATTTGGTTCTAATAAGTGCTAGTTTTGTTCTAAAAATTTTATGATCATATTAGAAGGAGAATGCAGGAGAAATAATACCGCACATAGGCATGAGCAAACATTAAGGTATAAAGTTTGCCGAACAAATATGATTGTTACAATTACTGAAACCTATGTAGTTTTATCACTAGATGCGGTATTACTTTTTAAGAATATTTCTTTAAACGTTAGTAAATCAGTTAGTAAAACCAAATACCATACTAGGTACAAATACTTTCTTTAATATGATCGGCTTTATTGTTCCTGAGAAACCAAAATAGCTAACTTCGTTAGATAATATGGTTTGACAAAAAGCTTGTTGGCCCTAGTGACACATGTTTTAAAAGATCTAAGTCAAGTACCGTCCTATTCGTCGTGTAGCTCTTTTATAATTTGCTTTATAAAATAAGATGCAATACTTCGTAAGGTATAAAATTATGAATACTATGTTTGTATCTAATTGTTAGTTAATTTTGTAGTATGTCCTGCTAAAGTTAAAAAAAGGCAAAGAAATGTCGAAATGATGAAATAAATATAGTTTCAAATCAAGCCACTTACAGCAGTCTCAACAATCTAACAGGACTCCGTAGTGTTGTACCACATTATTGCACGGTAAATAACTACAAAGGATTTTAAATTCAATTATATATAATATATAAATGAATAAAAAGAACTATAGGAAAGAGAAATCCCTCCAGGCCTATAGTTGAATAAAGAAGAATGGCGGTTAGGAGTCGGAAGGCGTCGGAGAACGCTGTAGACCGATAGTAGTAGTAGTAGTAGTAGTAGTAGTAGTAGTATATATATATATATATATATATATATATATATATATATATATATATATATATAGTAGTCATAATATAACTGATATCAGGCTATTGATACCAATTCCTGAGTTTAGCGTCTACCAGTACATCGTAATTTAAGTACCAAACTGTAGCTACTAATATATTATTTTGAAGTATTTGGATACACATTTGTTTCTATTAGTTACAAGTTACAATAATATGTTTTATGGCACAAACAGAAAGCATCTTGTAAGTAATCTTAAACACCAGCAACTTAATTCCAAAAAAAAGATTAATAATATAGTAGTCAAAGTAAAAAGAAAAATATTTTGACTTACATTTACGCTTTGTGGTGCTGATAATACATATATTATAGCATCTGCAATGTCACTAGCTGCAAGAGTGCTTACCGCTCCTGGTGGAAGTTTGGCGAGTTCTAACACTTTGTCTAATGTTTCTGTTTGTACTGCTCCCGGACTTATACTCTGTCAAAATTATTATAAGAGATTTGAAATCATAAGCAGATAATTAAGCGAATATTTAACGATACTATATTTTAAAATAACACAGAAGTCAAGTGTATTGAAATAATTGTATTTGTATGTTTGTGTACATGCGTTAAGCAGTATTTAAAAAATTAATTAATCTGAATTCAAATTAATTTAAAATATTCCTGATGTAGGGATATTTAAAAGTTATAAGGTTAAAAACTGCTTCACTAAAGTAATAATACTATTCGAACAAATATTGTGTTATACATACATACGAATAGAGTATCAAAATCATTCACGACTCAAAACGGATATACAAAGTGATGATTTAAGCACTGCGATATTTAAAACAATTATAGAGGCAGTAATTAAATATTGCCCAAAACAAAAGAAAAAACTATTCGAATATGGACATTTATGAAAACAGATTACTCAGAAGGAGCATTTGCAGATGAAATATACACAGATTTTATATTTCATCAGTTGATTTCCTATAGTGGTGTCAGTTGGACCTTTGGTCAATACTTAGTTTCATAGAATTTTGAAAGGTGCAGATCACATAACTGCCCTTCACAAGCTGTCATTTGTCACATGTCATCCTAATATTTCCGTCAGACCGGGAGCCCATTCTGTCTCCGGCTTCTATACAACATGTAGCTTCTCCTTAAAATTTTAAAGTGTATGTTTGTCTTTGTGTATTGTATTTTGTATTGTTATGTCCATATTTTACTTTTATGACATTCTACTCATGTCGTATAAGCCACAACTGACGAAGTAAGTCTATAAACGTTTATCACATATACAATTTTTTCAACCATAAACTTGGAGTTTTTTATCCAAGTGAATTAATTTTCCTTTTTTATAAAAAACGTTTCTTGGCTTATTTAAGATGCCCCTGAAGATGATCTATTAATCGAAAGTACTTGGGCAAGATTAAATTAATCACCGTGTTCGATAGTTGCCTTGTATACCCTCAAAGTTTAATTAATCGAACATTCAACCTTATATTGAATTCTTAAACAGGCCAAGACCCACCCAGGGTTGTAGAGCCAAAGATGATGATAATGACATTTTAATAAATAATTCCCCAATTAGAAGTAAAGTCCGTAGACTAATTACTGCAAGTGAAAGATTCCTAACATCCAATGTTTCTCTCACTATCCCACATAAGGTAATAGAAAACACACTACTGATCTTAGGGCCAAAACCAACTTCACTAATGCCATTTTTGCGAATAGGAACAAACAATCCTGAATACAAACATGTACTCAGTTTTCGTCGACATATTTACGTATCTCCACCCATAGGAATTCTTTTAACACTAGAGAGCTTATGTTTCCTTTGCAAATAACATGGCCATATTTCCACTGGTTACTCAGTTATTGTAAATTACTCAGACACAGCTGTCCCAACTGCTACAATTTAAAACAAAAACGAATCCACAACAGTGACTTCAACAGGAATGACTGCTATTACACCTTTAACAACATGCACCTTTACAAACATATCAAATAATTCAACTACAGATAATACAATGCCAGTGAATCCAAACCAAATATACCCACCACATCAGCCCTATCGTCTCACATAATTATAAATAACCAGCCTTCATCTATCAGTCTAAACAATAAATCTTCATCTTTCTCGGTTAATGAAAATAAAGAGAGTACAGCACCAAAAGAATAAAGCGTATCCAACGAGACAAATACATCTAAATCGTCCTGCAAACAAACTATATCTAAAGCAATATCACCCCCGATTGAGACATAGCTAATGACGATGTATTTTCAAAGCCAACTCAGAAACAAAAAAGGATATAAACAAAAATATTAACAATACCTTTAGAAACGGTAATATTATTATTAAACCCTAATATTATTATTACAATTAAAGAATTATTCAATTCCGAAAACAAAATATTAACTTTTGAGGAAAAAGTTGATTTATTTGAAAACACTCATGAAACACAAGATGTTATCAGCTTTATAAATAAATTTACAGCAGACGTTCCAGAATTTAGACAACTTTTAACCAAAATTCAAGTATATACATCCGAGCGCTCATTAAAATTAAAATGTACAAAGCTAAACAAAAAAATTACGAGACAGCTCTCAAAAGACAACTACGAGGATGAAGAACTTGACACGGATACATCGACTGAATTATCCCAGGAGCTGAACATTCAATAATTAAAGCTATAATATTCAATTTATAACAGTGGAATATAAATGGGTTTTATACCCATTATGAAATGCTAAAACTTTTAATTAATGATATTACCCCCGCTATCATTTGTCACCAAGAAACGAATTTTAAAGACCAGTATTGTCACACATAAAAAATTTTCAACATTTTAAAAAAATGGAAACAAGAACGAAAAAGTAAATGGTGAAGTGGCTTTTTATGTTAAAAATACTCTTGAAGCACAAAAGATTCCTCTAAAACAGACATCGAAGCTGTAGCCGTCTCAGTTAAAGCTTCCCAATGCATTAATGTATGTTGCATCTATACTCCCCCAAATAAACTTCTCACCTTAACCGACTTAAAAGCACTTATTTCACAAATACCTATGCCCAGGCCAATAGTAGGAGATTTTATTATTCACATTCCAATGTGGGGCTCAACAAATTTTAATATAAAAGGCAGACTAATCGAAGACTTGTTAACTGAAGAAAATTTAAACATTCTCAATGATGGAAGACCAACCAGATTTAATGTACATACTGATACAACATCGGCTATCGATTTATCAATTTGTGACCAAAGTCTTTCAATGGCTCTTAATTGGGAACCCCTACCCTTTTTATAAGGGAGCGACCATTACCCAATAAAAATTTCTGTGTTTTCTGATGACACTATCTCTGAATACCAACCAATCCGAAAATGGAACCTAAAAAACGCTAAAATTGGGACAAATACGCTGATGCCATAAAAACAGACATCTAGTTAGTCAACAAAAATCTAGTTTGGAAAATACTGACATAAATGAAACTCTCAACATTTTTACAAAGATACTACATACGCGGCAGAAACACATATAGGAAAAACTAAAATAAAAAGGAAAAAGGTATTTAAGGGCCCGCTGAGCTATCTGACATATATTTGAGGATGATTCACATAAAAAAGATTCACATTCTATCAATAATAAACTGACATCAAAAGATATTTCCAATATATGTGTCTTAAGGCATGAGCTTTCGAAATGTGGTGATATAGAAGAATTTTAAAAGTTTCTTGGATAGAGATTTTCGAAACGCCACAATACTAAAATGAGCAAAACAACTAAGATTATAAAAAGCATCAGTAGGGGAAAGCAAAAGTACTTCGGACATGCGATATGTATTTAGGGTCAGATACCACTTTTGAATTCCATAGTAAGCTATCAAAAAGTGCAGACCTACAGTATAATTGTGTATGATTTAATGTTTGTATAGTGCTTATTCTTAAAACTGGCAAATAGCAGAAAGTTTTAAGCAATGATTAAGTGTTTTATTTATAAAATGCTAAGGAACCCAACAAGAATAAAAAAATTTTCTTAACGTGAAATTTTCGGTGATAGGCTATCACCTTCATCAGGACCTAAATGAAAAACTTATTTAGTATAAGTGGTGGAAATTAACATTTAAAATTCTACATTGAAAATGTTCAGTTGGTCCTAGTGGTAAAAAACACTGTCATAAATATGTTAAAAATATTAAAAAATATATTTAAAATTTTAAATAAAACCATTACAACACAAACGGGTATTTTTACAAATACAACACAAAATCATCTAAAAACCAACGCAAACCGCAACTTCATGATAAGGGTAGAAAAGAAGAATTTTTCTTCTTTTTTGATGATAATGTTTCTGATTTCTGTCAATATCTTGATGTCATATGTAACAAAGTTATATTTACATCTGTACCTCATGCAATAACATGGAAAAAATCTTTTAAAGAACTAAAATCAGCAGGGAAATGAAGTCTGTTCTCATGTGCAGGTAGGTCATCTGTGTATGTTATGATAAGTTACCTCCATTTTCCAATCTGTTACATCTTGTCAAGTCCTGCTGAAGCAAAAAAGAATAAATACAACTTAAGATTTCAACATCTTTCTTACAGTTCATAGAAGAGCTGCAGTAATGGATGTAGCAGATTTCTATAAAATTTTTCTTAAATTGGTTGTCAACCCTTTTTAGTACTTTCACATTTTCATAGTTAACAAGGTGTCCAGTATTCTTAATATGTTGGCTAAAAGCTGTACTAGTAGGCTTCCTCACATCACACTTGTGCAAAGCTATTCTTTTTAAGAGTTTCTGGCTGGTTTGACCACACACTGCTGAACAGGAACCACATAGAATAGAATACACTACATTGAAGTTATCCAGTTTTTTAACTCTTTCTGTTAGGTGAGTAAAGTATGTCCCTAATCTTTTGTACACGGAATTTGCTATCACTATGTTGAACTGCCTGAAAAGGTTTGTGATTTTTGGTGAGAAACCCCTGATGTAAGGCAATCTCTCATAGAAAATTCTACTGGGTCTCCTTCTAATCTTTGTCTTTGGTGTGTTCTTGCTGTTGGCATACCTTAGAAGCGCAGTTTGTTAAGCAGCATCTTAGGATAGTGATTTTTTTTAGGAATCTCATAAAGTAACTTGATGTTCTTATTGTATTTAGAAGGGTGACAATTTTTTTTATTCTTATTGTCGTTATATACTACACTTTATATATATATATACATATATATATATATATATATATATATATATATATATATATATATATCTATATATATATATATCTATATATATATATATATATATATATATATATATATATATATATATATATATATATATATATATATTATATATGTATATAATGTAAAAGATTGCATTTCATTTCAGTTGAACAAGAGCTCCTGACGATGGGTTGAATAACCCAAACATGTGTCGGGCTATGGTGGAGTTCTGATTAAAATAAAATGCAATCTTCTACTTTCATTTAAACGTCTTTCTCTGCGTAAAGAGCGAAAAAAGATGGTAATGTTCAAAGGTGAATCGTAGATGCTTGTCGAAGTAAAAATGTACTTCTAGCGTCGTTAAAAGCCTCTAGCAAGAGGCTTTGAATTTGCGGTTCAACTAATTTGCTATCAGAGAGGTCTCTGGACTTCTTGTTATTTCATATATATATATATATATATATATATATATATATATATATATATATATACTTATCTATATATATATATATATATATATATATATATATATATATATATATATATATATATATATATATATATATAGGGTGAGCCTTAGGTAATTGTACAAACAGAAACTGGAGATTCTACACTTTAAATTGAATTATTATCAATATAAAGTGTAGTAACAATATATATATATATATATATATATATATATATATATATATATATATATATATATATATATATATATGCTTGGCAAAATGGACATCGACGCGGTTCAACCCGGAAGACTGGTGAGTTTGATATTAATTTTAGTAATAATATTAATCTTAGCTCTAGGTTATATATATATATATATATATGTATATATATATTAAATTTAAATAACAATATATATATATATATATATGTATATATATATATATGTATATATATATATATATATATATATATATATATATTAAATTTAAATAACAATTTTAATTCCTACCAGTTTATGCTTACACAATAAAACGAGTATAATTGTATAGTTGTACCGGTCTACAGTGAAATGAAATTTAACAACCATGAACAAATATAAGAGAAAATTATGTTTAATAGGCTTACTTACAGTTACTCTGATTTTAGAATTTTCTTTAGCCAACTCGAGACGAAGTGTTTCAGTTAAGGAAGTCACAGCATATTTCGTAGCACCATAGATATCTCCGTCCATTGATCCTACTTTATGACCTAAAACACTATTAAGATTAATAACATGACCATCTATATTATTCTCTTTCATATGCTTAATAGCTTCTCGGGTTGAAATGCAGACTCCTAAGACATTAACGTCAAGTACTTGTCTCCACTTTTCAGTTGTACTTTCTAATATTTTTGAATAATTAATTGCGCCAGCATTATTGATAACAATACTGACTGGGCCAACATTTTCTTTGGTCCATTGATACGCTTTTAAAACATCACTTTCTTTGCTAACGTCACCCTCGTATGTGTAAAATTTTCCTTTTTTGGAGGATAGATCTTTAGCAAGTTGGTCTAAAAGTTGTTTCCTTCGCGCGAACCCTACTACCTAAAACAAATATAGACTGCTACTTTCGTATTTTTAAAAACAAATGTTTTGATAACAATGTCACAAAGTTTTAATCTATTATAAGAATCCTACCGAGAAAAAAGCGCAAGGAAGAAAAAAATAAAGGAGAATATGGTCAAGTACGTGTCTAAAGCTATCCCCGAAGTAGTTTCTGAATTTACACTGAACTTAGTAATAGTTTTTATGGGGTTTAAGTAACTTTATTGACAAAAAATTAGATTGGAGTTAGTTTATAAGATAATTTTAAATAAAGTCATATAACAAATATTATATTATTTAACAGCTCTTGTTTAACGAAGTCCACTCCTAGAGTTTGAGGACCAAGGTAAACTTCAGTTTTCACGGAAAGTTCTGGAAAGCTTAATTTATTATAGTTAGTTTACAATATTTCGATATAACTTGGTTGTTTATTTATTGACGTTTGTCTGCACCGTCTGTAATAAAATCGCCGACGACTTCTATAATATCCTGTATTTTATTTCTCATAAAAAGTTCAATATTAATCCCATTACATAACGGTAACTGTCTTAGATGCTTTCATGCTTTTGTTAAAGTACACATTTCAAATAATTCTGAAGAACGGTTCCAGAAAACAAATTTTAATTAACCACTTATTTCTTTTACACAACATACGGTAACATAACATTAACAACCCATACTGCATACTGCACCTTTGTGAACTGAATCGAGAACTAAGAAGAGAATTACTCTGCCGTCCTAACATGAAAGGTCCTATCTGCAAAATTTGGTAAAATGACTTTATTGGCTCACGGCATTCGTAAACATATTATCTATGTATGTACAAAATGAAATTGTCCTATAAGCGTCTTAAGTGCCTTATTATATACCTAAATGGTTTGTCCTAACTGACTAAAAAGCCATGTTCACTAACATAAATTGTCCTATCTCACATATACTAAGAAAAATTGTCCGTTTTGACTTTAAAAATGCAGTTAGGACTATTTAAGCTAGTATTTTATACTGAGCGGCATCATTTAGGACAATTTTTTGCCTAGTATGATATAAGCATGTGTGTAACATAACTTCAAATAATTAATTAAAAAGGGTATTTGTTATTGTCAGACATTGGGAATACTCTCATGCTTTTTGGTATTTTAAGTAAATATATTGTGAGAAATGGAGGAAGGGTAAGTTTAATAATGTTACCTTAGGTATAAGCAATAACTGATCGTAATTATTGTTTGTAGTAGTAGCAAAAAATATAGCGTCGATGCATAATCTTCCCGACCTAAAACCTTGTGGTTCTTCTGCCAGTGTTATAATTTCATTCAGTTTATTTGTCATTACTTTTGTTGTTAATTTTAGTGTTGTGTTTTATAAATTAATTCCCATTCCCTTGATTTCCATTCTTGAGGAATACTATTTTTTGTTCTATTGTTTTATAAAACTTAGTATAATAAAATTAAAAGTGTTCAGTTAATTTGAATTTTAGTTTTATTTGGGACAATTTCAGTAAGTAATACAAAAAAACGTACTTCAGATACACTAAGCTAAATTGTCCTAAGTGGCATTTTAATCAAAAATCGACTAATCTGGAAAGAATAAAACAAAATTCTGACTAGCAATTAAATTCTATTCTCTGACATAATATATAAAATAAAACATAAAGACTTCCTTAAATTACCAAGCGTTATACAATGAAAAGAAACAAAAACTTGATTTTCTCAAAACCTAAATTTTGCAGATAGGACCTTTCATTTTAGGACGGCAGTACTGTAAAAAGTCGGAATTAACGGTATTCCGCCACGATTTAACAACGATGAAAAAATACAGAGAAACATAATTCTTTTAGAAGTATTCTACAAATGATTTAAAACAACACATGAAGTGTATGATTAAAAAAAATTACAAACATTGCAGGACAAACCATACATGGGTAGCATCCAAACAAAAATAAATACAGATATAATAATACTAGAAGCAACTAATCAAATACCAATATTAAACTACACGAATCAGTTGAAAAAAAAACACTACTACAAAACTGCTACAAAATAAAAAACAGGTTAAACCCAAATAGAAGTAGAAGAAAAATGTCATCATTCTGGCTTTATAACCCTGCGTGAATCCTAGTCTCCTTAATCATTTCTCTCCAGTTGTACGTATTCCCATATTTCTCATGTCTTTATCGATGTTATCAAGGAACCTTGTTTACGCCTTTCTCTTCTTTTCTGACCAATGGATCTATCAAGAAATGTTTTTCTAGCTGGATCATTTTGTTCCATCCTCATTACATACCCTATATATCTCAGACGTCATATCTTAAAATGTTTTACCATATCTGGTTCCTGGTATATTCTATAAAGTTCAAAATATCGTCTTCTCCACACTCCAGTGTAACTCACTGCTCCATAGATTCGCCTTAAGGTGGATTTTCACAGGTCCGATATTCGACGGTACGATGATACGATATAAGTTTCAGCGAATTTCATTGGTTGAAAAATGACAGGTGGGATTTTCGTACTAAATTAAAATTCATCGGAAGAAGTTAAAAATATTTTAACTTTTGCACGAAAATCGGATGAATTTTGACATTGTTGACATTTTAACTTGAACTTTAACCTTACTTTTGTGGAGTGTTTATGTTTACTATTTGAAATATATTTAAAATGGAACCAAGACCTAATTATTATATAAAAATGCAATGAATAAAGTGTTGCTTTTGTGTCTTCTACACTATGTCAGGCAAAAACGACGAAAAAGTAGCAAAATATAATATATATTTTATCAAACAAAACAGCTAACATTTATTGATAGTTCATTGAAATAAATATCAATCCATCCAATAATCTCACACGTAACACACACATATATATATATATATATATATATATATATATATATATATATATATATATATATATATGTGTGTGTTACGTGTGAGATTATATATATATATATATATATATATATATATATATATATATATATATATATATAAAATTTCGGATACGATAATCAAATATATTCGTACGAAAAAATTTCGTATTTCGTGTCATCGGATATCGGATCTGTGAAAATCCAACTTTAGTACTTTTCTTTCGAAACATACTAAAATGTTTTCATTACTTTTTGTTAAAGTCCTGGTCTCTGAACCGTATGTTAGGACTGGGCGTATTATTGTTTTGCAAAGGTATTCTTGCATTTCTATTAAGGAGCGCTCCCAGGTATACAAATTCGTACTGCTTCAATGACGTCGTTATCAATAACAAGTAGTCATAGTATTTCTAGTTGCGTGCTTATTTTATCATCAGCATAGGCAACGATTTGCACTGCTTTAGTATATATTGAACAAATGGTGGTGATTTGAGACATACGTATTACTTTTTACAGAGCTGGATGGAACAGTATACAGGAGACAGAGTCTCCTTAGCGCAGCCCGTTATTGGTTTTAAAAGGTTCAATGTTTTAACATTTGTTTCAGTGTTGCAATCTGATGAATTGCTGATTTACTACCTCTGAAACTAGCCTGGTATTTTTTTACTATCAGTTCTGCATATGGTGCTATACGGTGACATAGTACTATGGAAAATATTTTATATGCTGCATTTAGAAGCATAATTTCCCTGCGGTTATACCATTCAAAGATATCTCGTTTTTTCTGTATGGTGCAGTGAAGTATTCCAATATTTCAATAATTAGGACGTCTTATAGGTTTTGTTCTTCTTTTTTTTATTAAGGTGCCTGGTTAAAGTATTTTACCTATCTATTCAATACATCTTTCCGATTTGTTAATAGGTCGCCATTCTGATTTCTGCATGATCTTGTGGTTGTCTTGAATTATTTTCTGTTGATCTTAAATTTCTTATAAAATGCTCTAAATACTTTCTCTTTGTTGAAGTTTTCTCTGTTATCTGTCCCTTATTTAAGTGGTTTTGCTTTTTCTTTTGTGTATTCTCTTCTCTTCTCTTCTTTTCTCTTTTATTTATCTAATTATTCACTACAGTTGTTCTAGTTAATCGGGTAAGCATATTTCTATAGGCATCATTATTTTGTTTGTTGCATTTTTGCATTTATCGTCAAACCAATTACTTTTAAAGGGTACAAATTTCTGTTTCTATTTCATCTTGCACTAGAACATGACATGAACTAAACTAAAACCAGAAATAAAAACAAGACAGGCAGCTATTGTAAAAAAGGTGCAATTAAAGATATTTCTTCATTATTTCACAACGCTGAAAAAAATACAGAGACAGTATTGTAGAAATAATTTAAAACAATTTGTGTTTACGCTTAGAAGTAATATGGCGAACAACACATGAAGTATATGAAGTATAAATGGGCAGCAGCCAAACAAAAATGAATACATATATAATAATACTAGATGCAACTAATCAAATAATTTTATAAAATCAAAACAATATTAAATCACACAAATCATTAGGAAAACAACTACAACAAAATAAGAAAACAGGTTACATCAAAATACAAGTAGAAGAAAAATATTTATACTATAAATTTATAGAAAATTAAACTAAGACGATATTAATTTTTTTTATCGTATTAATCGAATTACACCGTTTTAAGAAATCAATCAGCGGAATTTGTATATTATAAATATTCTTTATTTTTTATGTATTACGTCCTAAAGAAGTGACTTTAGACTTTTGTTTATTATCTACTTCTTAACGATGTTCTATCTTTTTGGTGGCTTCTTATTTCTGGGAATTAAAAATTGGATATATAGAAAAGTATTTAGTACACGAGAGAGGAATTTTTCTTTTAATAGAGACTAATAGAAACAAGAAGGCACTTTTGCAATACTCTGATAATGAGATAGAACATTTACCAATAATAGACAATCAACAAAAGTGTAAAGGTATTTTTATTTAAAAAAGAAATGTAATCAAATTAACAACATAACACTGAATTATGTAAAAGGTTTAAGATACACATTTTGTATCTAAAAATCGCCAAAGTATATTCTATAAATCAAGTCAGAAAATACTGATTTTAAACATATAATGTAATAGAAATGCAATTTCCCTCGTGCGGAAATTTGTAATGGTAGGTTTATAGCCACAATAAAGTGATATCTCAATAAGCTATACATTAGATGCGTAAATAAAGTAGTATACTGAAACTGGTATAATTAAACAACTTAATAAAATCTTACCTTTAACCCGCTGTCAACTAATTGTTGTACGACGGCTTCTCCTATTCCAGAACTTGCACCTGTTACAAAAGCTACACTTCCTGCCCAACGTTCCATCTTGGGAAAGTATAAATTATAAGAACATCTAATATCTATATGAACTGCTAACTGCAAAAAGGGGACTTCCAACAAATTTTCATAAATTTACTTTATGTTATTATTGCGTTCTTTACACGTAAACACATCGTTTTCAACAAATAGGGGACTTCTGTGTCTATTCTAAGTATATTAAAAATGGCGGCTAAAATTTCTTTAACTGCAAAAAGGGGACTTTTACAGCAGAAGTTTCCTTTTTGCAGTTAAAACACAGTCCGCAGTGTGGTGCTGCGCTCGTGTCGGCGCATGTTTTCTCTTCAATACCAGCACGACTACCAGTAGACAACAGCGGTGTCCGCGGTAGTTCTACTTGAATTATTTATAAGAGAGGTGTTGTTGTAACATATCTCTAACTTTGTTTGCAATGGCTCGTAGCAATGCTAGTAGTGATAGTGATTCGGATAAACCTTGCATAAGAAAAAAGGGTGTTGTGAATTCTTATAAATATGCACGAAATAAATATCGTGATGCAAGAGTTCGCGGCGTTTCTTTTGTCAATGCAGCCGGAAAGGAGATACTAGCTCGTGTTCCCGCCTTAGAATGTGGGTAAGTAGCAGTTTTAGCCATAATATAAATAAGAGTAATATTATTACTTTTCAATTAATTGTGCTTTTATTTTGTAACTTAATATAATAATCATTCGCATTGCATTTGGCTGACATTCTAACACAATTTACTAAGATTATTTAAGTTATGTTAATCTGTCAATTATTTTAAGTTGTTTTAATATCTGCCTCATTTATTTCAGATGCAAGTTGAAGTGTTTGTCTCACTGGAATGCTGAGGAGAAGGCCACGCTTCTCTCCAAATTCAACAGCTTATCCAATAAAGATGAACAGGATGTTTTCTTGCAAGGCCTTATAGATTGCGCTGTCCCTAAGCGGCGATTACCCGCTGATAAAAATAAAAAGCCTAAATCCAAGACAGTGACGTACAATTTACTTCAGAATGGCAGTAGAGTTGCTATTTGTAAAAAAGGATTTTTGGCGAGCTTTGGAATCACAAAGAAAAGATGTGAGCGGTTATCCAATCTGCTTCATAAACAGCAAACTCCTCGTGATCGACGCGGGAAAAGTAGCAGTTATAATAAAATACCAACTGAACTACTTTCGGAAGTACATAAACACATTGCTTCGTACCCCACTAAAACAGCTCATTATACTTCTCACGAAATGCAATATCTGGATTCCACACTTAATGTGCAGAAAATGTACGACATGTACAAAGTTAAACACGCTGATCATAAAATTAGTTACGAATCTTTTTGGAGATACTTTAACGAAAATTTTGATCTTAAATTTGGCCAACCTCAGCAGGATACATGTGTAACTTGTGAAGAGTTATCACTAAAAATTAAAAATAAATTTTTAAATGACAACGCAAAAAGAGTGGCTGTTGCTGAGTTGCTAGTTCATAAGCGAAGGAGCAAAAAATTTTATAATTACCTCAGAGCAGAACGGGAGGATAAAGACCAAACAACTGCCGCAATTGCAATAGATTTCATGGCCAATATATCTTTACCTATTATACCTGTGCAAGATCTCTACTATTACAGAAAATTGACAGTTAGTGTTTTCGGAATTCATAATTTGAAACATGGAACGATGGTCTGCTATGTTTACCACGAAGGAGAGGGTGGCAAAGGCCCAAACGAGGTTTTAAGTCTGTTGAGTAATTATATTGAGACATACATTTTATGTGACCCTCACGTAAAAAAATTGAAAATTTTTGCTGATAACTGCGCTGGTCAAAATAAAAACCATCCTATTGCAAGGTTTATCATGACACTTGTTGAACTAGGTAAATTTGACAGCGTTGAATTGCTCTATCCGATTAGGGGTCACTCATACATGCCGTGTGATCGAGATTTTGCCTTGATCAAGAGGAAGCTAAAGAAAATTGACAGGCTGTATCTGATAGAAGAAATTCTTAATGTGATAATGAGTGCTTCTAAAAACCCGTCAAAATTTCGAGTACATCTGCTGAGACACGATGCTTTTCTCGACTTCGGTAATTGGTGGCCACGTTATTATAAAAAAACGTGTCTTAGTAACTCATCCTGTGGTATAAAAGTTCCCAAGGAAAGAAAAATAAGATTTCAAATTTCAACTTACCATCACATGAAATGCGATAGAGCGGAACCTGGCATCCTCACATGCAGTGAGTTCATTAATGGTGCCATATCTGAGAAGTTTAACCTTCGAAAAATAACCGAAGAAGTGATAGTTTTGCCTTCAACGCGAGCTTACTCTGAAAAACGCCCATTAATGGCATCCAAGGTTGAAGACATTAGAAAAATGCTAAGATTCATCGACGACGACAATATCCCATTTTGGAGGGAAATAACAGAATGGCCCACTGTCCACCAAGTTGACAATTAATACTATCGACTGTTTTCTACTCCTAGTTTTTTTCTTATAGAACTGGTACTTTATATTACTTGATTATAATGGCAAATAAAGGTGTTTTCTGGCAAGTAGTGTTTATATTATTAAATTATTCCTCATAATTTTTATTTGAATTACAGTTAACTGCAAAAAGGGGACTTCTACACAACATTAAAATGTGAATATTATACCAATATAATTAAAATTATTTACCACTTATTTACATCATTGTATATAAAGTTATATTGAACATGTATACCAAGTTTCCTGATTCTAAGTGATTTGGATATATAATTATTTAGTTTTTACCTTCTCCTGTAAAATTTACTTTTATGCAGATGTCCCCTTTTTGCAGTTAGCAGTTCATATATGAAATATAAGTAGAAAAAAATAACATTTATCTTAAGATAACATAGTTTTAAAAAATTATAACACTTGGATACACATTGATTAACTGATAACATTAAACTGCACAATGTAAGGTAAAAGTAAAAATTTTGATGGATTTATCTATTTGCTTTTTAGATTGTATAGTTTCAAGATATTTAGATTTTAAAACGGTAATATTGTTTAATTCAATTCCGGAATTATGTACCATCGCTGTGAAATTAAGCCGGTATAAGTGCAAAAAATCGAGTTTTGAGAAATTGATATTAAAAAATGTCGTTGTTTGTCTATTATTTTGTCATACCGGCATACAATTTGGTAAAATAAATAAGTCAAATGGCATTAAGACGATTTGCACAATATTGGAGTCGCCGTTTTGTTTAACAGAAAACAGATCTATTGCGCAATGCGCCAGCCGCTTCCTAAATTTCAAGAAAAACGAATCGTCGAAACGAACGCGTCATATAAGTAAAACTGAATTATCTCACAACTGCACTTTTTCTCATCATTAACCCTTAACTACAGAGATCCGGTATTTCTTACCGGTCTTCTTCTTCTTTTTGTGCCGCTCCTATCGGAGATTGGAAATCATCAAGGCTATTCTGACCTTGTTTACGGCTGACCTAAAGAGTTCATTAGTGGTGCAGCCATACCACTCTCTCAAATTCCGCAACCATGACATTCTTCTACGGCCTGGATTCCGTTTTCCTTCTATTTTTCCCTGCATTATATTTTGAAGTAATGCGTATTTATGTCCTCTCATCAGGTGACCAAAATATTCGAGTTTTCTTCGCTTTAGCGTTAACAAAATCTCTGGGTCTTTTCCTATTCTTCGTACTACTTCACAGTTTGTTATTCTTTCAACCCAACTAATCTTCAGCATTCGACGGTAGCACCACATCTCGAAACTTTCAATATTTTTCATGTTGTTCTGTTTGAGAGTCCAGGCCTCTACACCGTATAATAGAGTGTTAAATACATAGCCTCTCAGCATTCTTAATCGTAGAGGGATGCTTATATTTCTGTTACAGAAGAATTTTCTCATCTTTATGAAGGTGGCCCTAGCAATTTCGATACGTCTTTTTATTTCACTGTTTTGGTCTCCAGTTTCGTTTATTAAAGTTCCCAAGTATTTGTAACTTGATACTTTTTCAACTTGAGTGCCGTTTATACTAATATACGCTGGTTGTGTCATGTTTTTACTGAAGACCATATACTTGGTTTTTTTAATATTGATATTTATACCATACTTGTTGCAAGCAATATTTATGTCTGTAAGTAATCTTTGTAATTCTTCTACTGTTCTTGCAACTAGTACAGTGTCGTCTGCGTACCGAATATTATTTACAATCTCTCCATTAATTACGATTCCTCCGTTTGCTTGTAAAAGGGCTTCCTGACAGATGCTTTCACTATATACATTAAATAACAGAGGTGACAAAATGCAACCTTGTCGTACTCCTCTACGTATTTCTATTGCTTGTGATGTTTCAGTTTCTATTTTGATGTTAGCTTTCTGATTCCAATATAGATTGAGAATTATTCGCAGATCTTTATTATCTATGTCCTTCCTTTCAAGAATCTCTCTAAGCTTATCATGGCGTACTCTGTCAAACGCTTTCTCAAAATCGATAAAACACGTATGTACCTCCTGATTAACGTCTAGGCATCTTTGTGTAAGAACATTCAAACCGAAGAGAGCTTCTCGAGCACCAAGCCCTTTTCTGAACCCCATCTGTGTATTACTAATATCTGACTCCAACTTTTGATAAACTCGGTTGTGGATGATTTTTAGAAATATCTTTAGTAGGTGGCTCATTAAAGATATTGTTCGATGTTCTGAACATTCTTTAGCATTAGATTTCTTTGGCAGTGTAACGAATGTAGACAACAGCCACTCTTGAGGTATAATACCAGTATTATATATTGTATTAAATAAGTGCAATATTATACCTATTGATTCATCATTCAAGAGCTTTAGCAATTCGGTAGGAACCTCATCCGGTCCATTTGCCTTCCCAGTTTTGGAATTTTTAAGTGCCATTTCTACTTCACATTTTAGAATTTCAGGTCCCGTTTCGCCATATATCAGAACAATGTTATTTCTGTTGTCCTCAAATAATTCTCTTATGTATTCACTCCATCTATTAATTTTCTCTGTTAAATCTATAATTATCTTTCCATCTTTGTTCTTAAGC